TGTGGGCGCGTGTGAGCAGTGTCGAGTCTGGGTATGAGTACTCTCGGTGCGAGGAGTCTGGGTGTGAGCGCATCTGAGTCTGAGGGGTTCTGGGTATTAGGGACAGTACCGTGATGAGCTACGCACTTATATGTATATGTATATGTATATGTATATGCCATCATCAAATCTACACACGTAGCACCCCGCAGTTGCGGATAAAATTGCGGGGGCGGCAGGGACGTCGGCATTTTGCGAGGCTCTGATGAAGCCGCTCAGTTTTTACAAAGTACACGAGAGGTTCGCAGCGGGCGCCGATATTTTCGTTGAGGCAGTGCTGGTGGGGCGCGGGGTGGGTCGCGGGCGGGTCGCGGGGGGGATCGCGGGTGGGTCGCGGGTGGTTCCCGGGCCGTGACGCGAGGAGGTCGCGGGTGTTTCGCGGGTGCTTCGCGGGTCGGGTGGTCGCGGGTGGGTCGCGGGTGGGTCGCGGGCGGGTCGCGGGGTGGGTCGCGGGTGGGTCGCGGGTGGGCCGCGGGTTGTGACAACGAGTCTTTAGACAGCAGCCAGCCATGTTGATCAATCTGACATAGAAGAAGTAGGGAACAAGTAGTTTTCCAATATAGAAAAGCATGAAATATTTTGTTAAAAAAAGAGAAACAGTTTCAAAGTAGTGCCAAGTAGGAAATAGTTTTCCCAACGTAAACATAACATTTCAATGCCAATTTGCACGTTGATCAGGACGCGCCCTGCAAATGTGTCGCATTGCAGCCATCATTGCCGTGGGGGCGCGCTGCGCTGCGCCGCATTGCTTGAGGTTCGCAGGCGCGGGGCCGCGCTGCACGAAACAAACGCGTAGTGTCGGGGGCCATAAATGCAGGGTCGCAGCGCCGGCGTCTTCTTGTAGTCGACAGGGCGGCCCGCGGACTCCATGGCGCGCGGCGCTTTCTGCTTGTTGCAGCTTCTTGACCGGGGCCGAGCACTAGTAGCGGGGCCCCGCCCGCCAGGCCAGCGCGCAGTGAAGATGGGTGAATCTGGGCCCTTGCGCGGGGGCGGAGAAATTATTTCGCTGATTTAGAAAGCAATTTCGGGGCCCCTCCGGGTCCGCCAGGGGGCTGCGGGCCCGCCGGCGGCCGGCCGGGTGGAGGCGGGCCCGGGGTCGGCGAGGTCCGGATTTGCAAAACACGCTGGCGCGGCCGGCCCCAAATTTGCACGCGCCGGCGCGGCTGGGCCCGGACACGCAAAACGCGCCGGCTCGGCCGGGCGCAGCGCGCGACGGCGCGGCCCCGCTTGAAATAATAATACGCGCAAGCGCGGCCCGCTCAGGTTCGCAAAGCGCGCCGGCGCCGCCTGACCCGGAACTCCCGCGCGCGGCGCCTCCGGGCGCCAGCGGGCCGTCGGAGCGGGGTAAAAAAGGTATTTGAATTACTTTAAAGCGCCCGCGGGCCCACCGGGGGGGGACCTTAAAAAAGTTGGAAGGCACCCGAAAGCTAGTTGAAAGCTAGAAAGATCTACGAGACAGCTCGAGCAACTTACCTTTAGCTACGCAGTGCTAGTAGAAGCTGGAAAAAGCTAGAAAAAGCTATCTCGATGACTTATAACAAGTTATATCGGTATTCCTTCTCGGCTCGCCGGGGCGCCCCCCGGGCCCTCCGGCGGGTCGCCAGCTAGGGTTGGCCGGGGGCCCCAGCCGGGCCCGGCGGCTGGCCCGAGGGAACCTCCGGCGGCCGCGAGGTCCGCTGGGGCTGGCGCGGCCGGTTTGGATTGTCCAAAAACACGCCGGCGAGGCCCTGGCCTGATTTGCGAAGCGCGGCAGCGCGGCCGGGCCCAAATAAACAGTGGTGCGCCGGCGCGGCCAGGCCGACGATGAAATGCTTCGGCGCGGCTGGGCGCGATCGCGCGACGCGCGCCGGCGCGGTCGGGCCCGGCGCGAGCGACGGGCGCGGGGGGAGGAAGGGGGCGAAAAGGAGGAGGAGGAGGAGGACGAGGAGGAGGAGGAGGAGGAGGAAAAGGAGGAGGAGGAGGAGGAGAGGAGGAGGAGGAGGAGGGAGGAGGAGGACAGGAGGAGGAGGTCAGGAGGAGGAGGACAGGAGGAGGAGGAGGAGGAGGAGGAGGAGGAGGAGGTGGAGGAGGGAAACGGGCGAGCAGCGAGCAGGAAGAGGAGGGCGCGGGGGCGGGGGAGGAAGACCACGACGGCGAAGGGCAAGGGGCGGGAGCGGCGGGCGAGGGTTTTCGCGGCAGGAGAAGGCGCCGCCGCGGCACGGCGAGATGGGCGCGCGACGGGTAGAGGGGGGGAGGTCGGGCGAAAGAGGAGGACGATGGGGAGGAGGAGGAGGAGGAGGGGCCGAGAAGAGGAAGGGGAAGGCTGGTGAAGGGGTTGCGGAGGGAAAGGTGGAAGAGGCATTGGGGCGCGTCGCGTGCAAAACCGCGACGCGACCATCGCCGTGGCGTCGCGAGCAGAACCCGCGCGGCATTCCTTGTTGATTTACTGGCGCGCGGGGCCGTGGTTTGATTCGGCGCGTCGCCGCCGCGGGTTCGACGTTGCCCATCCCGTGCGCGCGTTCCCGTCGCTTCGGGAGCTAAGTAGAAGCTACTTATAATAGCTATTTCCCAAAGCTACTTGTTCCCAGTTTGTTCCATTTCATGTTGCTGTCTTGATCCCCAGCTGTCCAAGGCCATCCGGTGTAACAAGTCGCGGAGCGGGTCGCGGGTGGGTCGCGGGTGGGTCGCGGGTGTGTCGCGGGCCGGGTGGTCGCGGGCCGTATCGCGGGTGGGTCGCGGGCGGGTCGCGGGCGGGTCGTTGGGTGGGTCGCGGCGTGGGTCGCGGGTGGGTCGCGGGGCGGGTCGCGCGTGGGTCGCGGGTGGGTCGCGGGGCTGTCGCAGGCCGGGTGGTCGCGGGCGCGTCGCGGGTGGTTCGCGGGCCAGGTGGTCGCGGGTGGGTCGCGGGCCGTCGACAACCAACAGCAATAACAAAAACACCCACAACAACAATAATAACAACACTCCGTTTGCATAACCTCTTGTCAGCCATGTGCCCAGGGACAATGAATGGTCGTTCGGGCCCCTCACTCTGATAGATGGCCACCCCCTGAGATCACGCATCTCACTTCATCTGGAATGTCTTCTCACTTTTTCTCTGCCTCTCTCTCTCTCTCTCGCTCTCTCTTTCTCTTTCTTTCTCTCTCTCGCTCTCTCTCCCTCTCTCCCTTCTCTCTTTGTTTTCCTCCTTCTCCTCTTCGGTCCTTTTCATTATCCGTCTCCTCCTCGGCCTCCTTCTCTTCCTCGTCCTCCTGGCTCCTTCGGTGTTTTCTTCATAGTTGTCCTATGTGTGTTATATTTTCCTGTGCAGTGCAGGTGTTTTTTTTCATTCGGTTTTCATTCGTGTTCATGTCTATATGTCCCTGGACTATATCACGTTACATTTGGACAACTTCAACATTACACATGGAACAGAGTTTGCCCCGCACAAGAATATATAGGAAACGGCGCAGCCTCCGAGAGCGGGGAGAGAAACATTCTGGACAAATGCACCCCTTCCTCCAGATCGCATAGAAGTCCTTGTCGTGGCGGCTCCCCAAAGGGATTCCCCTTGTGGCGGATTACACAATGATTTTTTTGTGGCCGTAAGAACAAGCTCTTTTTGTGGGCCCCCCCCCCTCCACCTGTTTTCCCCCTCGTCCTCCCGCCCTCCTCCTCTTCTCGCCTCTTCGTGTGTTTTTTTCAATGTTTCTTCGATTCCCCTGGCAGGCTCAGAGTGGCGTTCATTGCTTCTCTTGTGCCGGGAGTGTTTTCCAATCATTTGTTTGTTGATGGTTATCCGCCGTCGCGTTCCCTCGGCGCCCAACCCTCGCTCCAGGACGAGACCACGGAACAAGCATGGCAAACAAAAAACACAAAAACACCAGGCCGGACCTAAACGTTGTGTTGCTGGATTTCCGTTTTTTTGTTGTATTGGCAGGGAGGCGCGCGAATACAGGTAGAGCCAAGCAGACATTAAAACGAAAACAAAAAGAACACCAACGTTTAGGTCCAGCCCTTTACAAAGCTTGCCCAGACAAAAACCATATGAAACAAACTGGGTCTGGGAGTCTGGGAGGCCTGGGAAGGAACAGCAAGCACACAATACATGCACCCCTTCCTCCCGATTGCAAGGGAGTCCTCGTCGCGGCGGCTCTCCAAGCGGATTCCTTTTGTGTCGAGGTACAGAAGGACACGTGTTTGTGGCGGCTTGCGAAGGGGCCACTTAGTAGGGATTGCGAAACGATTCCTTTTGTGGCGGCTTACAGAACGACACCTCTTGTGGCGGGTGACACACGATGTCTTTCGTGGCGGCCTGCACATGGATTTATTATGTATGGGATTCCAAACGGACTTCTTCTGTGGTGGCTTACAGAGTTTCGTTTGTGACGGTTGCAAGCGGATTTTTTTAATGGCAGTTTGCAGAAAGAATTCTTGCGCGTCCAGCTATCATCGAAGTTCTTTTGCGGCGGAATGCACATCGATTCTTTTAGTACAGGAGCACAACCACCAATGGGTCCGTCTGCCGTCCGCCTTCTGCGGTCCACTTCTGGCCTCCTACAGGGAACCGCGGACGGCGAACGGACTCGTCACTCCTCCTCCTTTTCCTCCTCCCCCTCTTCCTCCTCTTTCTTCGCTCCTCACTTCTCCTCGTCATCCTCCTGCTCATCCTCCCACTCTTCCTCACCCTCGCTCCTCAGTCCTTACTCCTCCCCCTCCTCGTCCTTCCCATCACCATCATCACCTTTATCATCATCGTCATCATCATCATCATCCTGATCCTCATCATTTGCATCATCATCATCATCATCATCATCATCATCATCATCATCATCATCATCATCATCATCATCGGTATCATCATCGGTACCATCATCATTCTCATCATGAGCATCCTCCCCATTATCATCATCATCACCATCATCATCATCGTGACAAGGGTGGAGGAGGAGGAGGAGGAGGTGGGAAGGGGGATGAGGAAACGGAGGATACCGCGCCGCTCCAAGGTCCGCAAGCGGCAAAACGGTCGGCAAGCGCAACTCCGTTGGCCCAGCCATGGCGGCCATGGACGGAGTCAAAAGCGACGTCAGGAGCTCGTCGTCGTCCTCGTCGCCTCACGTTTTCGCCTTTGTCCTCTTCGTCGTTGACGCGGTTCTCGCTGTCGTCGTCATTCGAGGCAGTAGTGGTTCGGACGTCGTTCTCAGAGTTGGCGGCGCAGGTATCGTAGTCGTTGGTTCTCTTCCTCTCAAGGGAGCATTACGACTGATGGGCAGGAGTAGTGAGGCAGATCAGGATCAGAAGGGGGAGGAGGAGGAGGAGGCGTTGACTACAGAAAGGGCGTCGCGTCATCATCATCAACCGGGCGGGCAACCGGGTGAATGTAGGGGAGTGGAAGTTTGACGGGAAGGAGGGCTACGTCCAGCTCGTCTCAGACAAACTGAAGGAGGTGGGGGTGGAGGAGAAGGGGAAGGCCTTCGACGAAGCGGTGACGGCAGCTTTTATTGAATGAGGCTTGCATGAGTCGTATCGTGAAGACACAAGACAACGTACCAGTCGGAGCACAGGCTAAGAGAAGTTTCAGAAAGCAAGCCTTTGAACAAAATGACACGCATTGCAATTCAAGTCAGTATTCGTCCTTAGGTACTCATTAATGTTTGTCGTGATCGTTGCTTGGAGGAGATTGGTGATCGACATTGGGATGTAATTGTTTTCGCGGAAACATGGAGGGCACAATCTCGGGAATCGTGGGAGCACTCGGAGGGCGACCTTTGGTGCGACAGCGGAGGGGTGGCGCGCAAAGCTGGTGTAGGATCCCTTTGCACAGGCGCTAGAGCCACGTGTGGTTTCACCCTTTGCCAAGCAGGAATGTCAACTCTGGAGTTTCGTATCGTGGGTTTTGGTCTGGTCAGAGTCGCGGAGGCTTGATTCTCGGCGCGTTCAATCATCTTCTATGCCACGCGGCGGCCATTCCATCCGATCGGCTCTCAGCAATCAGCAAAAGTCAGAGTGGTACAGTTGCATACGAGAAAGGTGACGCCACGCTGTCCTCGAATTGCTTACCAAACGTCGTACTTGCTACATGGTACAAGCTTTTCAGACAGATGTCTTGCGGCAGATTTCGAGAGCGTATGGCGACAGAGCATTGTGTTGATCAAGTTGCATATCGCCGGGGGTGCATCACAATCGACCATCTGACATCGACGACGTTCTTGTTCGAATCTTGGCAGGATTACATCGTTCAAGTATGGACCGCAAGTTGACTTTGAAAAGTCTTTGCACCGCGGAACACGACATGCTCTGGAAGGCACTGGAACAACAGTGCATACTCTTTAGTACAATAACATGGTGAAGCTGCTATACAAAGTTCAGTCTGCATCTGTGGCTGCGGGGGATCGAGGTCGCGCCTTCAAATCCCGGGGTGTGAGTAAAGGCGAGCCCATCAGTTAGTTCGTTCATGTTCACGGCGGTCATGGAACAGCTGTTCAGGACGTCCAGAAAGAGATGCAACCATCTGAACACTCGACGCGTGGGCGACTAGCACGGCATTGTTTTGGACGTAATTGCCTTTTAAATAATTTGCACTTTGCAGGGACGCAGGCCGTATGATTGGACTTGGAGACAAAAGCTTGAAAAAGGTTTTTTTTTTAAGCGCACGTGGACAATGCCGCTGTCCTACCAGTTCGTGTGATGCAATAGGGCGAAGCAGAGACAGATTTAGGCCAGCAGCTTTCTCTGGACCATTGCCACGGTGCTGAATTCGATCACAGAATGGCAGCAGGATGGGCATCCCGTTTTCGCGAGTGCGTGGAGCTGTTCCCACGCCGCAGTCACGCCGTCTGCTCTGCACGCTTCCGCAATGTGGGCGTTGTCCGTCGCGCAGGGGAGGTGGCTACGCACAACATAGCGGCCGCAGTCCGCAACCCAGATGAGTCTTGGGTCGAGCACGTCCAGAGGGCGACGCAAGCTTGCGCATCGCTGGCGCAGCGGCGTGGCGTGGAACACTGTGCAGGTGTGTTCTGGAAGTCGACATTGCAGACTGCAGTCAGAACGGCAGACGTCGAGGACGGGCGCTGGAACGCGTGGTTTCGTTCGCACGCGAAGAGAAGTGTAGGAGGCCACCATAAGCGCAAGTGAGATTTAGATTGCTTCACAACCTTCCTTTTCAGCGCGCGTGGTGTTTCTCATCTTCCGGCCTGGCGCATCGCCTGGGACGGTGGCGCTCCGCCCCCCTCCCTCAGGGCCGCTGTTCTGTTTTGTTTTGTTCCCTTTCGGATGTGCCCTTCCTCCCTGCCCTCCTGCTACCCTTGCCCACATGTTCAGCCCTGTCCGGGGTGGGCGGGAAGGATTACGACGAGGTCGAAGGAGGCGCGCGAGGCCGAGGATAAGGGGCAGTATGATGATGACGATGATGATGATGATGATGATGATGATGATGATGATGATGATGATGATGATGATGATGACGATGACGATGATGCTGATGATGATGATGGTGATGATGATGATGCTGTTGTTGATGATGTAAAATGGTGATGATGATTGTGAGGAGAGGACGAGGAGGAGGAAAAGGCGGATAATGATGGCGAGTGTGGATGAGGAGTGCGGATGATTGGAGGTAGGCGAAAAGTTGGTCGTCCTCGTCGTCGTCCTCCTTCTTCCCCGTTTCCCTCGTGCTGTAGCATCGTGTCCCAATAGTGACGTTTGAGGATCCCAGGTGACTAAAGCCCAACACTCTTCGAACAGACGTGGCCCGAGGAGGATTCGAGCGGTGGAGCAAGAAGAGGAAAGAGGAGGCGGAGGAGGGGTCATGATCCTCTCTGGTGTTGCCATCGGGTGGTGCACGCAGCTACCCGTATCGCAGCGCGCAGCGCGACCCGCGGATAGCTTGTTACCTTCACCGGCGATAGTTTTTCGTCCTGGACTCGTTTTGATGGCCCCGGGGCCAGTTAATGTGCGTGGGGGGCGCAAGTCGAGGAATACTGTTTGGATTGACGGAGATCCGGTACATGCGGTCTCTCGGGCCAGAGTTTGGCCCTCCAGCGGCCATTCGGGACGATCTGGGCACCCCCAGCACGTTCTCGACGAGGTGCAGCCGCTGAAGAGCATGCCGAGGCTGGAAGCCCTTGCTGGGAACCGACGAGAGGGTCTGAAGATCTCGAGTGCCGACGAGATGCCCGAAACCGCAGGCAGAGATCGATGAGCAACTCCCAGATTGAAAAAGCATATCGTCGGAAGTCAGGGTCTACCTCAGCTTCCACGTGGAGACGGAAACCACCCTGCGCGGCAGGCAACGAGAACGTCGCCGCAACACATCCCCGGAGCGCGGGCTGGCGACTCGGGTGCAGGGCCTCCCGACGGCGCACCTCCGTGTTTGCATGGCCGCGTTGCGGTCGGGAGCTGTTTGTTTGCCAATCATCCCGATCGGGGGCGGCACGACTCCCGATGAGCACGCCGAAGACCAAGTATGCGCCGTGCTGACACAGCACTGCCACTTTCCCGAGCAAACTGCGCGGTGCTTGGGCAAGGGCAGCATGTCGCCCGCGTGCGCGAAGTTGCTGCCCTTGCCCGTGTCACGCGATGCGGCGCAGGATGCATGCGTCGTGCCACCGCTTCTGGCCCACCACCCTGCGGCGGGACGCGACGTCCCAGTCCCCGAGCGTCGACGCCTCGAGAGTCTCTTTTCCCCCCCCGCCACGGAGCGCAGCCGCGCGCTGTGCGGTCGCAGGGCGCAGCGCGTCGCCGGGGCCGGCCGCGCGGGTGCCCAGAGGGTGTCGGGCCGGACGAAAGGGGGGGATTGGGAAAGGGGGGGTTGCGAAATTTGCTGCATGCAGCTGGTTTCGGCCTCACGATGCTCACGTCTCCCCTCGTTCTCCTCCCCCCTTCCCCCCTGATCCCTCCACGTCTCCCATTCCGTCCTCGTCCGGCAGATCCTTTTCCTCGTCGCCCTCCCCCTCCGCACAGACTCCCCCGTCCTGCTCCGGTCGGGCCGGGCGAAAGGGGGGGATTGGGAAAGGGGGGGTTACGAAATTTGCTGCATGCAGCTGGTTTCGGCCTCACCGAGGGGTGCCATTTCTCGATACACGGCCACCTCCAGCGCCGGGAGGCGCCGGGAAAATCGGCTACGTGAGCTGATTCTCAACCCCCCCTTTGCTATCCCCCCCTTTCGCCCGACCCGAGGGTGTCCAGGACAGGAGGTGGGAATCATGGTGGCACCAGTGCCGCGCCAGTGAAGCGCATGAGCAGGGGATCCTGGGCTGGGCATCGCCGTCCCTCGCTCTTTCACGGCGTCCCCCTCGCCGCCTTCCTCCCTTCGTTCCTCTCCGTTGCACCTCGAGCGGTGTGCACCTGCAGCAGCAGCAGTGGCTGCTCAAATTCGGTGCCTCGGACTCTTGCTGTGGTGTGCTGCAGACCTGGGGCGCCGCGGATGCTTTTGTTCGTCGCAGGAGAAAAAAGTCAGAGGAGAAACGTGTACGTACTACTACATCTACCCTTTCATCGTGCTCGCCTTGTTGCGCCTCCTCTGAGGCCCTCGTCGCCACGGCTGGATCCGCGTCGGAAGTCTGGTTAGATTGCACCTGGGAGAGGTCTGGGGAGTAGCGGCGTCGGTACCTTTGGTTCCCCCCTAAAGCGGCATAAACCTAGTTTTTCGGAGGTCCGCGCCGATTTCTTGGATCGGTGCTGGGTCCCCTTGGCGCCTCCACCTCCGGCTCCGCCCCTGGCGCGCTCCGCGCGCCAGGGAGGACCGTCCAGCGGGGATGCAAGGACAACGTGCGTACCTCCAAAAGTGTATGCTTATGCAGTTTGGTGTTCTTCGATTTGTCCTCGACGGCCGGCTTGAAGGCGCTGCGGTCTGCTTGCTTCTCCTTTGCGGATTCGGGGGGGATCCTGTCCCCGCTGCCAGTGGGAGTTCGCCTTGCGGGATTGCTTTCGGCGTCTTGTTCCGCCGGGCTCCGAAGGGGCGCGGGAGGCTCGTGAGGTGCCTGCGCGTGCAGCCTTTGCCCCACCCCCCTTCGCTGGATGTGCTCGAGCACTGGTGCCATCGTGGGCAGCGCACAGAGAGTCCGCCGCCATGCTCCACAGGGTGAAGATTGCACACTACGTGTCCGTCTCCTGCACGTCGCCGCCGCAGACGGCGGGAATACGCTGGAGGTGGCTACACGGATGATGGACCAGCCCGTGGCTCCGATAGCGGGCTCCGGGCAGGCGCAGACGTCGGACAGCGGCAGTTGTGCACCGGCGCCGGTCCTTCCCGTGCCCAGCCTGCGGTGCCCGATCGGTGTGTACGCCGTGTTGGCTGGGCCAAGAAGGCGCGTGCATGGATCCTGCATGCACCGATCCTGGGTCCATGACCGGCCTGGCCACACCGATGTCGGTGTATGGCGGCCGCCTTCCTAAGAAGGCCAGCGGGTTCTGCTGACTAAACGAGCTCCAGACCACGAGGGGAAACAGATCGCGCAGCCATGTTTTTTCTTCATCGGTTTCGTTTGTATGTTTTTTGTCTGCTCTGGTTGCGTCTCGTCTCCACGCGAAGCATTTGCCAGAAACAGGGGGGCCTGCACGACGTAGTCGATGCACCCGTGGAGCAATCGTGCGCCCGTGGAGCGAACGAGGTACATGCTCTAATTCGATGTCCGCACGTCTCGCTCCTCTCAGGTGGTTGCGCTCTCTCGTCGCTTCTCCCTCCGGGAAGCAGTCGTCGGTCCGGATCACTAGATCAAACAATTCGTGCACTTGCTGTCGCGCAGCCCCAGCGCGTCGCTCGTCACGGGTGTGCACCCGCTCTGTCCGCAGGCCACCAGCGCGCCTCACGATACTCACGTCTCCCCTCGTTCTCCTCCCCCCCTTCCCCCCTGATCCCTCCACGTCTCCCATTCGGTCCTCGTCCGGCAGATCCTTTTCCTCGTCGCCCTCCCCCTCCGCACAGACTCCCCCGTCCTGCTGTGGTCGGGCCGGGCGAAAGGGGGGGATTGGGAGAGGGGGGGTTACGAAATTTGCTGCATGCAGCTGGTTTCGGCCCCACCGAGGGGGCCATTCCTCGATACATGGGCGCCTCCGGCGCCGGGAGGCGCCGGGAAAATCAGCTACGTGAGCTGATTCTCAAACCCCCCCTTTGCTATCCCCCCCTTTCGCCCGTCCTGCTCCGGCCTGCTCCTGGCTTCCCAGGACCTCCTTCTTCATGGCGAACACGGTTACGAAGCGGAGGCGCAGCAGCACGGAGTCGCTGAACAGGCGGCGCCAGGCGAGGACGCCCGCATGCGCGTCCCCGGCCCAGCTCGGAGTGACGAGGGCGATCGCGGGTGATCAGGGGCACAGTGATGCCGATGACGTCGGTGATGCTCAGGAAGGAAAATAATACACAGACGCAATTCATCGTCGACCCCCAGGAGAACATGCGAAACTATGGGAGGTGGGGGGGAAGAATAACCCAGAAAATATAGGAAAATACGGGGATTCCTGTGATTCGCGTATATTTTTGTTTGTGTGTCCCGAGGCCCCTTCAGATGCGTATCGCGATGACGGTAGTGACGAGGTCAGTGAAGGACAGATGAAGCGAGATGGTTGTGGTCGGCCGGTGAAGTGGGAGCAGTGCTGGTCTGAGTCCGTCTGGGTGACGCCGATTCCTATGTGGAGGACGATCAATGCAGAGGAAGCATGCTGCCAAATAGCTTCCAGACGTCTAAAACATGTGTTAAGCATGTTTTAAATATGTAAAAAAACAAGTTTCGAACATGCCCCGACAGATTACACCTTAATTTCAACGATAAGACTGTTCTGGTGTCCATTGTCGTGGCATCCACACTGATTCCTGTGCTTGGCCGTGGAGGCAACCTGTGATGCATGCCGATCCATGCGTGGACACGGACGGTGTACGCAGAGAATGGATGACTCTAGCGATGCGTACCAATTTTTGAATAGCCGTACTACAACCATGGGCACACATATTTTGAGACACCGGATCTGGCTTGATTTTGGGCCTGGCGGGCTGGGTTGTGTCCAGGGCGCCCCAGGAGAGCTCCAGACAGCCCCAGAGTGCCGCAAGAGGGCCTCAAGACGGGCCAAGAGGGCTGCCCCAAGAGGCTTTTCAGACAGTCCAAGAGGGCCCCGAGTCGCTGAACGATCGGTCTAAGACGCTCTAAACGGACTTCAGACGGACCAATGTGTTTCAATAGCCCCGACGAGGACTCCAAGAGCCCTCCCCACATAGCTCCAAGAGGCAAACATCGTCCCATCCCCTTGGGCACACATACATGATAGCCAGCGTGGGCCCCAAACCATATGTGTTCAAACAATGTATGTTGTGCAGTCTATGCGGGGCAATGGATGTTGTGCAATCTATGTGGTGCAAACGATGTGACGCAATCTAGGTGGTGCTACATGTAATTATATATATATATACACACATAGCTTGTGCTTTCTATGTGGTGCAACCTGTGCGATCCAAACCTCGTGGTGCAACTTATGCGGTTCACTATATGTAGTGCGAGCTATGTGGTTCAGTGTAGGTGGCGCAATCTATGTGGTGCCATCCGTGTTGTGCAACCGATGTGGTGCAATGTGTGCGGTGCAATTAATTTCTGTACGCAGTGGGTTGTCAATTCCACTGCTCGCGCAACCATCCCACCCACCCACCCGCAATTTGGTTTGCACGACCCAAGCGGCGGCGATTGCGATGAGTGCTTGGGGTTGTCTGGTGCATCTCTGCGGCCGCGTTGGTCCGCGCATGCCCGCGCGCACAGTTTAACGGGATAGATCCCATCTTTCTTTCAGAACAGAAGAATCGAGGTTGCGCATTGTTTTTTTGTTCAACGTTTGTTGTGCAGTCCATGTGGTGCAATCTACGCGACTCAATCTACATTGTGCAAGCCATATGGTGCAGTCTAAGCGGTGCAGTCTTATGTGGCGCCTATGTATTGCAACCTACATTCTGCACGCCACGTGGTGCAACCTATGTGGGGCACCCCTTGTTGTGCAAATGTGTTGTGCAATCTATGTTTTGAGACCTGTGCGGTGCAATATTTGCGGTGCAATCTGTGTGGTGGAATCTGTTTTTTGTTTGACAAACAAGTTGACAAATTTCACGCTCCTGCAAACATCCCACCCAACCGCCCGTAACTTGGGTTTGTCTGGAGCATCTGCGGCCGCGCTCGCCCGCGCATGATCGCGCGCGCAGCGGCCATGTAGTCTCGCGCGACCGACGCGACCGCGGTGGCGCTGACCGCTTGGCACATCCCAGAAGGCACTTCAGTGCGAGTCGGTGACTTGGGCGGGCGCGGTACCATGGCGACGCCGACATCGGTTGACACGATTATGAGAGCAGCGATTGTGACGAAGGTGGCGATGGCGACGGCGAGGCCAATGACGGCGCCGATGGTGATCACGCTCGCCGATAAGGATGATGATGTTTTCTCGTCGGTGATGAAGTTTTTTTGAGCAAGCTCGACATGCGCGCGCTGCCGACGCGCGCGATTGGCCCGCCTTTTAGTCTGCGAGGAAGGTCGTCCCACCTTCAGCACGCGCGCTAAGGCGTTCGGGTGAATTCGACATGCGGCGCGGGGGGGGCCGTTGAGCAGAAGTTGGTTCACACTTAGGGAAACCCACGGTCCCCCTCCCCCCCTCACCCCCATAACCCGCACGAGCGCGAGCGCAGGATTTGTTTTGAAAAGCGATATTGCACAAATGTTTGCTTGCTATCTGTTTTCGGGGCACTCGATTTTGACGGCCTCGCGAGGCCGCGTGCTCTCCAAGTGTTCGTTGTATGATCGGTATATATACCTTTTAGATATGAAAGCAAATGTCTGCTCCCAGTGAGTTGTTCATTCAATTGCTCGCGCAATCGCCCCGCCCGCCCGCCCGCAGGTGCGCGCGACCCAAGCGGCGGCGATTGCGATGAGTGCTTGGGTTTGTCTGGTGCATCTCTGCGGCCGCGCTGGTCCTCGCACGCTCGCGCGCGCAGCGGCCTCGTAGTTTGGCGCGACCGACGCGGCCGCGGTGGCGCTGACCGCTGGGCACATCCCAGAGGTCACTTCAGTGTTAGTCGGCGACTTGGGCGGGCGCGGTGTCATGGCAACGTCGACAACAGTCGACGCGATGATGGTAGTAGCGATGCTGGTGACGATGGTGACACCGATGACGGCAAGGCCAACGACGGCGCCTGCTGATCACGCCGGCGACGATGATGGCGTCCTCGCGTCGGTGATGAAGGTTGTTGAAGGAGTGCGATATGCGCGTGCGATCGACGCGCCGGAGTGGCCAGCATGGCATGAGTTGACGCGGATCGTGCCCCCCTTCAGCACGCGCGCAAGGGCGTTCGAACGATGTCGACATGCGGCGCGAGATTCCTGCTTGGCCGAATGGATGATTCAATGAAGCAGGCATCTTTGGCAACTGATGTTGCAAAACCATGTGTTTGGGGTGTTTTCGGAGCACTCGATGTCGAACTCCCTATGACGCGTAAGGTTTCCGCAGGATTTCCGCATGCGCGCGAGACGACGCGCGCGCGCGTGCACTTCGTCCCGCTTTTTGGCAAGGGGCTCTTGCGAGTGCGCGCGCGCAGGAGGGCGTCCGAGCGATTTCGACATGCGCGCGCGAAAGGTACCTTTTCGTATAATCTGATGAAGTAGCTGACAAACTTATGGGTTTTGTCGAGAACTTGTAAGAGCGAGAACGTTGGTTTTCAATTTTTTAGTTTGATTCGAGAATTCTTATTGCCATGCCATGTGTTTGCGTGTGCACCTCGTCCCATGCGTTGCAGGGCGCAGTACTTGTTGCAGAGGCTTGGGGTGGGCGATGCCGGTCTCCCTGGGATGGCGCGACTTCGTATCAGGATGGGCGATGGGACAGCATAGTCGTATGTCAGTCATTGCCATGCGCAAAGGGGGGCCGTTCAATTGGGGGCGCGGGGTCGATCCTATCCTTCTTTCAGAAGAATCGAGGCTGCGCACCGTATCTGGTTCAACGTTTGTTGTGTGGTCCACGTGGTGTAATATGCGCGACTCAATCTACATTGTGCAAGCCGTGTGGCGCAGTCTAGGCGGTGCAGTCCATGTGGCGCCTACGTGCTGCAATCTACACTCTGCGCGCCACGTGGTGCAACCAATGCGGCGCGCCCCATCGGTGTGCAATGTGTTTTGAAACCTGTGCGGTGCAATACTTGCGGTGCAATCTTCGTGGTGCAATGTGTTTTTTGTTTGACAAAGAAGTTGGGACATTTTGCCATTGCAAACGGCCCGCCCAATCGCCCGTAAGTTGGTTTGCAAAACCCTTGCGGCGGCGATCGCGATGAGTGCCTTGGGTTCGTCTGGTGCATCTCTGCGGCCGCGCTCGCCCGCGCATGATCGCGCGCGCAGCGGCCATGTAGTTTCGCGCGGCCGACGCGACCGCGGCGGGGCTGACCGCTGGGCACATCCCAGAGGGCACTTCAGTGCGAGTCGGTGACCTGGGCGGGCGCGGTGCCATGGCGACGCCGACAGCGGTAGACGCGATTATGAGGGTAGCGATTGTGACGAAGGTGGCGATGGCGACGGCGAGGCCAATGACGGCGCCGATGTTGATCGCGCTCGCCGGCAAGGGTGATGATGTTTTCGCGTCGGCGAAGAAGGTTTTTTGAGCAAGTTTGACATGCGCGCGCGGCCGACGCTCGCGATTGGCCCGCCTTCTAGTATGCGACGAAGGTCGTCCCACCGCCAGCGCGCGCGCCAGGGCGTTCGGGTGAGTTCGACATGCGGCGCGGGGGGGCCGTTGAGCAGAATTTGATTCACGCCCAGGGGAACCCGCGGTTCCCCCTCCCCCATGATCCGCGCGAGCGCGAGCGCAGGATTTGTTTTGAAAAGTGATGTTGCAAAACTGTCTGCTTGCTACACGTCTTCGGGGCGCTCGATTTTGACGGCCTCGCGGGGCCGCATGCTCCCCAAGGGTTCGTTGTATGATCAACATATATACCTTTTAGATATGAAAGCAAATGTCTGCGCCCAGTGAGTTTTTCATTCAATTGCTCGCGCAATCGCCCCGCCCGCCCGCCCGCAGGCGCGCGACCCAAGCGGCGGCGATTGCGATGAGTGCTTGGGTTTGTCTGGTGCATCTCTGCGGCCGCGCTGGCCCGCGCGTGCTCGCGCGCGCAGCGGCCTCGTAGTTTGGCTCGACCGACGCGGCCGCGGTGGTGCTGACCGCTGGGCGCATCCCAGAGGCCACTTCAGTGTTAGTCGGCGACTTGGGCGGGCGCGGTGCCATGGCAACGTCGAC